ATGGTCTTGCTTTGTATCTGCGCCTTTGCCGACTGAGCTAAGGGATGCCCATAGGATAGGAATGAACCAAGCGTTAATACCATCAGCTGTTTGACGATCGTGATTGTGATAGGTTACAACTCTGCTGTGTAGTGATTATTGGATAACCGGGAAAAGGTTGAATAAGCGCTTTTCAAGTTTGCACACACACCTGTATAGAAGCGTAAATGCAAATGCAATAAGAGCTTCCCACAACCGTCCCAACAGCCATAAGTAGCTGACTAAGTTCGACAGATTTATAACGTTTGAATACAGCTTGAGGCTGTATAAATGAAATGAGTAAAGCGGGGGGAGGGTTTCCTGGTTTTTGTTCAAAAACAGCAACCACTGCACTTAGGGGCTGTTCATAAACTACGTAGACAGTTTAAGGGGGGGGGGGTTGACAATTCATCACGGTCCATACAAATTTTAATTTTTTTGTATGGATAACTGTCTATGCAGGGGGAGGGGGGGGTTAAGAATCCCAAAAAATTGTCTACGTAGTTTATGAACAGACCCTTAGTTAATTAAAATGCGTCTTAGCGCACGGGCGCCTGATATTAAAAGAGGCCGATTTTGGGCAATGGCTGTTCTTTCTCCCAATTTTCCTTCTTCCCGTCATCCTTGTTTTGTATAGTTGTTTGTAGCTCTATGGTGGACATAACGTAACGGCACAACATTTTCACAGCGGTACATAACCATATCACTTCTGTTGTATACTGCTGTTCTTGCAAAAGAAGCGTGAAGGTTCTGAATATATAATATAAATGACAAAAACCTATGAACTTGTGACCAATCGGTTACACGAACTTGTCCATGGGATAATATTTTGATTTTTTTTCTTTTAGAACCTCGAGAAAATAACAGGATCTTCTCTTGAAATTTTACTTATCATCCTCAAATCATCCTTTTGGAATTCCGTAAAGATGCTTTTAAGATTATTTCAAAAAACCTTCATTGGAATATCCTTGCATTTCTCTTCTCAATACTAATTCTCAATTGCGAATACTGTATTCTTTAGGGTCAAAAGTTAAGCGAAATAAGAATCTATGCTTCAAGTAAGGATTCGGGTTTCATCATGCGATAAAATCTGTAATGATACTTAGGGAAAACTAGGTTAGACAACTCGGAAAAACCAGGTATTTAAGTTTTCAAATAGAGTGCCAGTTGGCGTGTTTGTTTCAAGTCCATTATCTTCAAAAAATTTAGATGATCTCGAGATATCTCAAATTTTCTGAGGTTTCAAAATAAATTGACTGGTTCCGATATCTTGGCTCTTTAACTTCTTGAGAGACCAAAATTTTGATAAATCTTCGAAGGCCGGAAGCCTTAGTATCTGCCCAAGCATTGAAAATCATCCAGTAGAAAGTTCTTTTCCAAGTCCATCAAATTGTATTTTCTACATGTCCAGAATCAACGAATTTTCAAGCTCAACAAATTTTCAAGTTACAACTTAAATACCAATTTGAACAATCTGAGAACTTAATATAATACTGATTTAGGGGATGCTCTCCTGCCTCCTGGATACATCTGGACATATATCTCAGATCTCGTAAACGTTCCCAAGCAACACACATGTTCTATAACAGTTTATATAACCTTTGTAAAACTGGGCTTGGTTGTATAGCAGTTTACTCAACATAACTGGATGAATCTGTGTTACTTGGGTTTAGATTGATGTCAGCTACCTTTGAAGAAGTTTTCCATTTATTCGACTTCAACGTACCGACGTCAACGCTACAACGACGATTTACTGACCATATATAAATTTTAATTTATTTATAATTGAAAGTGCTTTATATACCTAGAGGAAGAGTGCCAGTTGTGGCACTAGTGCTCCCCTGATTGGCCATACGGCCTAACTCATGTTCAAAATAAGTAGGCTTACAGAAAAGCATTGAGACTAACTTCCTGTGGAAGAAATTTTGCTTTTTATGATTCAAGGGCTCAGGCCGTGTGGCCAATAAGAGTTAAACTAGTTATATAACTGGTACACTTACCCTTACCTCCTAATTTTATTCATTAAGATAAAAAGTGTTGCATAAATAATAGACATTTTTATCCTCTACTGACGAGCTTTTATTTTATATTCTACAGACTTTCTTCTGAAAGGCCACCACACTGAAAATAGAATTTTACTCAGAGATTGAGTCACTTATCCTCATTCGTATGGAGACATTTCTAAAAGCGTAGGTTACACATGCGCTGAGTGACCTACGCTTTTAAGAAATTTCTCCATTTGAATGAGTAAAAGAGACTCACAACTGAGAAAAAGTGATTCCCTCTCTGAGCTAGTTTCGTTTTCAGTGCAAGGTAATATGAAATTTTCACCAGTGAAATATATTTTTGTGCTTAGCATATCATTATCATTTCATTATAACATTTGTTCTGCAATACTTGGTTCCTGAGTAATGAATTTTCAAAATACGTGATATCTGGGAAAATTTGAAAACTTCAACTAACATTTTTCGGGAAAACTTTAAAGTTTTTGAATTTTTATTTCAGTCATATGAACATAAATTCTACTTGTGGGTGAAATTTCATAGCTTTCTGAGAAACTTCGGTTAATTTTCCATAATGACATTGAAAAAATGTTTTTACACTTGAATTTTCTTTTGAAAAAAGGGTAAAACTTATTGCTTATCTTCTTTATCCAATAGTAACATAAAAACGTAATTTATATAAAACATGAACCATTGGAGATAAATACGAAGAGCTACTGATTCCTTTCAATAGCGGTGCGGCTTCTTTTTCCTCCTATGGATGCTCATGTGGACCGCTGCTCACTGCTTGCAGGTTGCCTTTCGTTATGTACTGGAGAACACCACCACTCACCACGTAAACACCGTTTGGTGAGACCGGATGAAATTCAACTTTGAAATCTGTGTTAGGGAAATCGCTCTTTGCAGGCAATCGGTAATAATTTTAACTATCAAAGCAATAATTGCATCTTCGTGTAGTTTTCAATAGTGACATTTTGTAAAATGACAAAGTCTTAAATTTAACACATGCGTAGAAATATATCTGATTGATTGGTGATAAAATATTTAAAATTGGTCGAGGGGCAGCTGAGTTATTAACGTTCAAAATCTTTCATAATTTTGTTATATGTTCCATTTTTGGTTTTCACAAAGTGTACCCCCAAATAGAAATCACAGACATAGTCCTACGTCAAAAATTGCGTTCTTCAGCAAAGTTGCTTCAAATAAACAGTTCTACAACCGTGTCCTATGTTATGATGGTTTATTCCAAATAATTAAAAAGAGTGTATAGATCTCATTAACATATGAATCACCCTAATTCCACTCACTTAATCATTTGGAATAGACTGATTGACTGTTTGACAAAGTTGTGCAACTGTTTACTTGAAGCAACTTTGCTGAAGAAACCAATTTTCTATCTGTAATAGTTCATGGTTTAATACAAGTTTTAAGTAGTATCTTAGGAAGATCCCTTAAAATAGGTTTTATTAACTTTCAAAGTGTTTTTTTGTTACTTCATACGTGAAGTTTACGATTTTCAGAGTTTGTTGGAAATTCTATACAAATATCAACATGAAGTTTTAGTGTGATATTAACTAGAGAAAGTTCTGAAGAGAATAGGTTGATAGTTACACTAGAGAACGGCAGTGTGAAAATTCAATAGAAGTCGATAACGTCAGTATATGAGCAAGTCAAACACGCACTCTTTCGCCTGTAGATTTGAAGAAATACTTCAAGTCTCCTCATCCATTAATGTATCAGTTAGGTAAAGGAGTATGCGTTTGCCTAGTACTGTCGCATTAATGGCCCTTTGCTCAATTTCAACTTATATTTATTATTCACACTGCCGTACTCTAGCGGAACTATCTACCTACCCTGTTCAAATCTTTCTGTAGCTAATAAATTTTCGCAATAAAGCTTCATGTTGTTTTTTTCCTTTGATTTGTTATCCGTCGATCCTGTTTTCCGTAATTCAAATGGAGCTCAAATTTCACCAAAACTAGGGCTTTGATTGTGAACTATGCAGAACAAACTGTGTCGATGACTGCAAATCGATTACGCTTCTGAGAAAAAACTAATTACTTTATTAATTTAGGCCTGTTGCTCCACTATATGAGCTTGTAGATGTGTGTGGCAATCTTGATGTAAAGTGAAAGAATAGTAGCTTTTTGTACAAAAATTAAATCGGTTTGCAGTCTTCGTCTATAGTATTTTCAATCTAAGTCCGAGATTTTGTGAAATTTGAGCAATATTTGGATTTTTGGTAAGTAAATTAATAGGATCGCAAATCGAGATTATATCCAAATGTGTTCAAATGTTGCACGGTTGTTGTGGACTTCAATACGCATTGAAAGAGCAGTGGAGAACATGAGGTTGTTGTGTTGACCCATCCTAATGGACATTGTTCATTGTCTACACAGGGAGAGGGGGCATCTGTCGTAGTTTATGAACAACCTCTTAATTAAACCAGTCAATATTGAAATCACTGTGCCACTATCTATTTTTACATCGCCAAATCAATGACCTAGATTCCATGATTGATTTATGAAATATTCAATATGTTTCGTCTGATTGCCATTATTTCCGGTGTCCTGATGCACTGATGCATAGCCGTTGTGCATTTCAGCATAAACAGTCCATCGATTACTTTAACGTATTGCACCAAACGCCCCGAATAATGTCCCACGGGCCATTACGCTTTTAGTTACAAACACAGTAGCCAGTAGGCCGCCAATAAATCCTACAGTCCTTCACCGGAAAACGGGACGATTTACGCACTCTTCGACTACAACCCTGCGGGAGAGATGTGAAACAATAACACCCCATGCCACACGCGCATGAAACCACAACACCATTATTTCGCACGGGACGCTTGCCGGGAAATGGAAACCCCTCCCGGAAGCGATGACTTTCCCGAACCCAGCCTAGGGAATTGAATAAAGAATTTTCTTTCGGTTTTATTTTTGTTAATGTGTCAAATAGATAGGATCGTATGCTTACGGTTCGCTCAATCCGTCCGGGGTTTTGTCGGCTTTGTCCTGGTTCGCCTGCTGGGCCTGCTGTCTTCGCTGGCGCTGATGACGCGAATCGTCGCCCAATCCGTAAAGGCCCGCAACGGCTGCCATCTTGGCATCCCACCTCGACCGACACCGCGCCTACTGCAACTACTACTGGTGCTGGTGCCGCAGGGCTACTGCGATCTCGACCTTGTTTTTATTATTATTGCTTGGGATTTTCTTCTTCTTCTTCTTTTTGTCTTTGCACAACACACGGGTTTGGGTTTTAGTTTTTGTCACTGCGTCGTCGTCCGATCAGTAGCGGACGATGGCGGCTCTGATGATGGTCAGCACCAGTGATGGTGGTCATCATCCCCTCTGATGGTTATTGTTTCTTCACAACACATGGCAAAACACATATTGAGCTCTAGGCTTCCGTTTTCACTGATTGCATGCAATGAACGGCTTTCGGTTGGCTGATTGAAGTGGCTCTTTCGATACGTGAATGGATGTGATTAGTTGCATTTTTTACACCCACGCCCGAAAGCTCGTAAACAGAAGAAATCCGAGTCCGATATGTTGGCGGTTTTCAATCAAACACGATATTGCTGACAAGAAGACAAGTGCAAAAGGGGGCTGGCTGGTGACAGAACAACTCAAACTGAGCACGGTTCGACTTTTGCACCGATTTTATGCTGCTTCTTCCGTGCTTCGCTGTGATTTTAGGTTTCACTTTTTCAACTGTAAGTATGGCTACTACGGAGAAGAAGGTAAAGAGAGTGAGTTTGTGTTGCTGGGTTCACACTATTTTATGGCTTTCTAATGCCGGCACGACCGACGGCACTACGCGACGATGCAAAAGGACAAACGTAGGAATGCGGAGGAAAAGCACCTTTCTTACCTAATATGTTGTATTTTCTTCTTCCCTCTGCCTCTCTACCTTGAATTTATATTTATTGATATTTTAAAGCTTTTGGTTACTCTTTTGTTTTGCACTTAGTTAAAGAAACTTATTGTGTTGTGTTGCGAGCTCAGACCATCAAAGTGAGTTTTTTTTCTTTTTGTTTTCTTCAGTTATTTTGGTTTTCAACGCCTACTTTGTTTCCGTTTTACAATTCTCTTCTACGGTGAGACACTACATAGCACTCATTATTGGACGGGTTTCATTCAACATGCTCTCACGGTTTCAAGTGCTGGCCGTACTCTGCTGCCAGGTCATGCAATTATATTGGTTTTATTATTATTAGTATTATTGGTAGTTTTAGCAGCGCAGTAGTCGAGTAGTAGTAGAATTGGCCTTCCACTTCATGGCATGCTTGTTCCGCGTTCGTTCTTTTGTTGGGTGTGCACTTTTCCGTTACATAATCCTGTTGGTTCTGCTGCCACCACTGCCACCAACGGTCAAACCAAGTTGGCCATGGCTGCTGCTGCTGTCGCTTCTGCCGTCGTAGCTGCTGTTTAGAACCCGGTTGCTTCGATCCATGCCGCTATTCACCACTACGTTTGCTTCATTTTCTTCTTCTTCTACAAAAACTGCCTTTTTCACAACTGCTTCTGCTGCCGCTGCTGCTGTTGCTGATATTAGTTGGACCCTTTTCTTCATAATAATTCCACTTTAGCTTCCTTACCTTCTTCTTCTTCTTCTTCCACTCTCTAACTTTTTCTCTTCTTTTTTTTTTAAAGGCAATTGAATAAAATGTGTGGTGTAGATATTTATCACAGATTTTCTGCAAACAGGAAAAGATCGGTCAGACCTACTCGATTCGAATCCCACCCACCGAGCAACCCGTCCGTCAACACCACCGCTACCGAACAAAACCACTTCCGGGTATTTCCGGGAGCCGGGCCAAAGCAAACTGCATCAGGACTCGTTCGGCCCACTTGTCCTTGTTTGCGGTGTTTCTTCCGTTCCGACGACAGAAAATAGAAAATAAAAACTTCGCAATGCCTCACTCACTCACTCACTCGCTCGCTCACTCACTGACACACTGACTCATCCAGCTGCTGCTCCAGTTCAGTTCAAAACCCCATGTTTGGAATCGGAAAAACCGGTTAAAATTGCACTGCCTGTCTGCTTTGACCAACGACCAAACGACCGACCGACGGTTCGTTCTGTGAACTAGATTCTGACTTTATCCGTATGAAGAAAAATAGCTTTCCCACCCTTCCGACGATGATTTTCCTTGGGAACCAGTCCTAGAGGGGGTAACATGGAGTCATGGTGCAGTAATAAAGGCCATGTGCCAAAAACTGCATCTAGTGCCGTCGCCATAGTACCGAGCGAGCAGCAGCACCAGTGTCTGGTTAAGGGTCGAAAAGGATAGGGATTTTGTTGGCAATCTACGAGCATCCTTCTTTGAAGGCTAAATATAAAGAAATTGAATCATCACAACGGCTTTGGGCATTGTTCTTAAGTCGGGATTGAGCCCCACTCTGTTTGGGTAAATTTAAGGTAATCTCAATCGATAAACTGTGCCAAATTGGACGGAGAGGGATGAACTAGGATTTGGTTGGAGGACGCTTTAAATGTTATCAGATGTGAACAATCTTTAAACAAAGGGGCTTTTACGTTTCCCCGTCAATCTAAGTTGCGTTCGTTTGATTGAGTTTATTTTTTTTTACTGCTGACTGCTCTGTTCATTCTGATCGATAGAATTGCTCAAAATTGTAAACAATGACTTCTCTCGTTGATTTCTTGGAATTCAAGGCAAGCCTACACAAACCAACATATCCATCGGGTATGGGAAGTCGTCCCCTACCCGATGGTGTTGTTGAATTGCGAAGGCGAGCCTTAACTTTCTAGAAATCATCGAAAGAAGTCATTGTTAACAAAAGCTGTTACTCCCTAATTCCAGCTCTATTTAGAACTGTTATATTATCAGCAACTTGAAATCAGCAGCACTTTGCTGTGCGTATGTTTCAATTTACCATAAATCACCAGAAGATTCCTGCAACTTCTCTTGGAAGTTCAGTCCGGCTTTGCCCAAAAGCTTCTTCCGATATATTGGAGTTTTTTTCTTCGGAGCAAATTCCGAAACATTCTTCTGTCTGACACCGGAAGATTATTACGTTTTCTTCTGGATGTGTACTCCGAATTCCATCAGAAGTCATTTTTAACTTTCCCCCGGAAGAGTCTGTCGACTTCCTCTGAATGTTTTTCTAAACTTTATCTGAAAGTTGTCCCTTTCACTTGTTCAATGTTTCTAGTCCGGAATTCCAGAATTCGTTCCAGAAAAATTATTAAAAAAAAATTATAGTCAAAATTTATGATTTTAGACTATTTTGGATTTTCCTGAAATGTTGCACAAAAATTATATAAAAAAATACTCATTTATGATTTTGGCTAATTTGAATTTTTTTTTTCTGAATTCAAAAAATATTTCTTGCTCGGAGTTTCTGAAATGAAACCAAACTTTCCAGAAAATATTAAAAAAAATCATACTCAAAATTGATGATTTTGGACTCTTTAACATATTCCTGAATTTAAAATATTTTCTAGGTCGGAATACGTGAATTGAGACTCAATGTTTCACAAAAATTATTTAAAAAAAAATCTTTGTCCAAATTGATGATTTTGACTCTTTTCAATTGTCCAGACTTTAAAAAATATTTCTTATCCGGAATTCCAGAATTCAAACCCTTTCAAATGTTTTAGAAAAATCATTTTAAATAACTTAAGCCAAAATTTAGGATTTTGGATTATTTGCACAATTCCGGATTTTCCTTACTAAAAAAATTTGTTTAGTCCGGAATTCCAAAACTCAAATCCTTTTAAACGTCCCAGAAAAATTATTAAAAAATAAATCATAGCTAAAATTGATAATTTTGGTCTATTATGGATTTTTCTGATTAAAAATTATATTTCAAGTTTGAAGTTAAAAAATTCAAACATTCCAGAAAAATTTCAGAATTTCAGAAAATAATCCCTTTTTACTTTTCTTTAAAAATTATTAAAAAAAAAAATATTGTCAACATTCATGATTTTGGACCAATTTGGACTATTTTCGATTTTCCTGAATAAAAAAAAAATCATTTCTAGTCCGGAATTCCAGAATGCAAACCCTTTTAAACGATCAAGAAAAAAAAAAAATTAAAAAAAAATCATACTCTAAATTGATGGTTTTGGACTGTTTTGGATTTTCCTGACTTTTACTAATTTTCTAGTCCGGAATTCGTGAATTTGAACTCAATATTTCAGGAAAATTAATAAAAAAAAACTCCGTCAAAAATGATGATAAGAGTCCAATTATCAATTTTCCAGACTTTAAAGAGTATGTCTTATCCGGAATTACAAAATTCAAAGCCTTGTAAATGTTTCAGAAAAAATATTTAAAACAACCTTAGCCAAAATTGAGGATTTTTAATTATTTTAAACTTATTTGGATTTTCATTACCGTAAAAAATGTTTCTGGTTGGGAATTCCAGATTCAAAACCCTTTTAATATCACAGATTTTTTATTTTATAAAAAAATCATGCTCGTTGTGTTTGGACTATTTTGGATTTTCCTGACTTTCTTGTCCGGAATTCCAAAATTCAAATCCTTTTAAACTTTCCAGAAAAATCATTAAAAAATAATCATACACAAAATTGATGTTTTTTGACTATTTTTTATCTAGTCCGGAATTCGGTAAGTAAAACTCAATATTTTAGAAAAAATATTAAAAAAAAAATCTCTGTCAAAATTGGTGATTTCGGACTCTTATCAATTTTCCAGACTTTAAAAAATATGCCTTATCTGGAATAACAGAATTCAAACCCATGTAAATGTTCCAGAAAAATTATTTAAAACAACCTTAGCCAAATTGATGCTTTTGCATTATTTTGGACGATTTTGGATTTTCATTACTTTAAAAAAATGTGTCCGGTCGGGAATGCCAGAATTCAAACCCCTTTATAAGTTGCAGAAGAAATTTTAATAAAAAATCGTACTCAAAATTTATGAAATTGGACTATTTTAATTTTCCTGATTAAACAGAATATTTTTCTTTTGGAATTCCAGAATTCCAACCCCTTCAAACATTCCAGAAAAAATTTGAGAATTTCAGATTTTTTATTTGGACTCTTTTGGATTTTCCTAAATAAAAATTAATATTTCTAGTCCGGAATTCCAGAATTAAAATAGAAGGTTTGAACGTCCCAGAAAAATTACTTAAAAAAATCATACTCAAAATTGATGTTTTGGGGAATTTTGGATTTCTTGACTTTAAAAAATATTCTAGCCTGAAATCTGTCAATTAAATCTTTTTAAAAATTGATGATTTCAGACTCTAATGAATTTTCCAGACTTTAAATATTATGTCTTATCCAGAATTCCAGAATTCAAACATTTGTAAATGTTCCAAAAAAATTCTTTAAAAAAAAATCATAGTCAAAATTGATGATTTGGACTATTTTGAAATTTTCTGACTTTTTCCTATTCCTAGTCCAGAATTTCAGAAAAACCCTTTTAACTTTTCCTCAAACATTATTTCAAAAAATCTTTGTCTTCTTATATGATTTTGGACTAATTCGAACTATGTTGGATTTTCCTGAATAAAAAAAAAGTATTTCTTGACCGGAATACCAGAATTCAATCCCTTTTTAACGTTCCAGAAAAATTATTTAAAATAAAAATCATACTCAAAATTTATGGTTTTGGACTGTTTTGGATTTTCCTGACTTTAACAAATTTTCTGGTCCGGAATTCGTGAATTAAAACTCAATTATAAATAAAAACTTTGTCAAAATTTATGATTTTGGACTCTTATCAATTTCCCAGACTTTAAAAAATATGTTTAATCCGGAATTACAGAATTCAAACCCTTGTAAATGTTCCAGAAAAATTATTTAAAACAACCCTTGCCAAATTGATGCTTTTGGATTATTTTGGACAACTTTGGATTTTCATTACTTAAAAAAAAAATTTGCGGTCGGGAATTTCAGAATTCAATTCCAACAAATTCAAAAAAATCATAGTCAAAATAGATTATTTTGGGCTATTTTGAATTTTCCTGACTTTTTCCTGTTTCTAGTCCAGAATTTCTGAAAAAATCCTTTTAACTTTTCCTCAAAAATTATTAGAAAAAACCTATGTCAACATTTATGATTTTGGACTAATTTGGACTCTTTTGGATTTTCCTGAATAAAAAAATATTTCTAGTCCGGAATTCCAGTATTGAAATAATAGGGTTTGAACGTCCCAGAAAAATTATTAAAAAAATCATACTCAAAATTGATGGTTTTGTGCAATTTTGGATTTGTTGACTTTAAAAAATGTTCTAGCCGGAAATCCGTTAGTTGAATCTTTTTCAAAATTGATGATTTCGGACTCTTATCAATTTTCCAGACTTTAAAAAATGTCTTATCCGGAATTCCAGAATTCAAACCCTTGTAAATGTTCCAGAAAAATTCCTTAAAAAAAATCATAGTCAAAATAGATGATTTTGAACTATTTTAAATTTTCCTGACTTTTTCCTGCTTCTTGTCCAGAATTTCAGAAAAAAACCCTCTTAACTTTTCCTCAAAAATTATTTCATAACATCTTTGTCAACATTTATGATTTTGGACTAATTTGGACTATTTTGGATTTTACTGAATAAAAAAAAATATTTTTTGACCGGAATTCCAGAATTCAATCTCTTTTTAACGTTCCAGAAAAATTATTTAAAAAAAAATCAAACTCACAATGGATGGTTTTGGACTGTTTTGGATTTTCCTGACTCTAACAAATTTTCTAGTCCTGAATTC